TTACCCTGCCTGGACTTTCTTCTTGCCTCTTCCTCTCCGTTCCTGATGCTCCCACTGAACTACTGCTGTTTTCAGCAGTTCCATCTTTGGGAACTACAGGAAGAAGCCCATTCCTCCCACTATGAGCCTCACTCCATGGGGTGGCACTCTCCTCAGAAACTCTGCATCATCTTATACTCCTGAGTGAGTTGAGGGATCCCAAACCTCCAGCAGAGAAGACGCGCCTGGAGCTCCGTCACATGGAGGAAGTGCAGCTTCAAAAGGTTGCACTGGCTTCCCACAGCCAAAAGGCATGGAGAAATGACTTGGTAAAGCATGCACTAGGTAGTGTATGTTAATATACTAAGGTGACAGAACTCTAACATTTGTTCTACAGTTCTCTTCAGAGTTTACAAGCAGTAGAGTTAAGTCTGAAAGTGTTTTTGCTGGAAGGTATTTGAAAGGTCAAGTCTCACATAATAATTTTTCATTCCAAAACAGTACAGCTCACTTAGAACCTTTTAACAAATAAGCCTTCTTTCACTCACTGTAATTTCCTGTTATGAACGCATTTTACACTCAACACACAAACTCCTGTTCCTTTTGCCCTATCCCTACAGTTACCTTTATCAGCTACCTTTGAATACGTTTTAATTATTTCTTTATTTTTTCCAAAGTCTTCAAGCCATTTTCTAACTGTCCAAACAGCCCTGTACCCTTTCATACTCTCACAGCAACTAGTGATCGGACATTTCACCAGTGGACTCAACTGTCTGGTACACCAGTACATGAATCCTGTCTCCACAAAAGTTGCAAGACAACAAGCTTTCCTTGCCAGGCAGCTGCTGCAGAATGACAGCAGGACTCGAGATGAAGGGCAGATGTAACATCATCTGATTTCCAATGTGTTCAGCAACACAAATCAGAGTGCTGAGGCAGACTTTATCAATAGCTGGAAAACCAGAAATGCCATTGTTAACAAACACTGTAGTAATAAGTATTTAGTATTTCTGTTGCTGAAATACATTCCACAGAAGAACATTTCACTTCTTTAGTATTCACCCCCTAAAAATTTGAGAATATTATCTCCACCTTATAAATAGAGAAACTGACAGAAAGTTCCAAGCAGTCCACACAAAGAATAAAAGCATATTTTGTTCAGCAGCATTGCAAAAGTTTACTCTGATAATCCCCAAATAAAAGTGGATAAATACCAACTGCTTGATGAAGGCATTTGAAGCATCTTCATTTTAACAGTACATTCAGCATCTGTCAAAAATAGCCAATCTATAAGATAAGAAACCATAGTACATCACAATGATTTGGGAACTGAATTTCAGTGCTTTCTGTTACGTCAAAACTCATTTATAATCCAACTTTGTGTTTAATTGCCCTAATAACTAGCTATTTCAGCATTATTCCTATTATACATATATTCATGTGACATACTCTTGCCATTTTAAGTCTATATTAGAACTGGTTTTCAGTTTCTTTAAAAATGACTTCTACCTAAAGCACACCATAGCAACTGCAAGGAATTTACCTGTACCCTCTAAGCTCAGAGCAAATTGCTCAAGCATTACTAATTTTGAGGTGGGAGAAGTTGAAGAAATGAGGTATTTTTATATAAAAAGCTTAAATGACTCATGAAAATTCTTTTGGCACAGCTTATATGTGCTTGACAACAAAAACATATATAGCACCTTCCATCACCCAAGTGCTGTACATACTGGCTAGGAAAGAGTTCAACAACTAAAACTCAACTTAAATAAACAACTAAAACTCAACTCTATAACCAGCAAAATCAAACTCTCCCATGACTTAAGCAGAGCTCAAGAAAAACACTGGACATAACATGGTATTTCTGGAAGTAGGGAACACGTTGTTACCAAGTGAAGTTTTCTCGTAAGCACTATTAAGTATCTTACACTTGACATCCAGTGAATTAGTTGTTCCTTAAGTATCAGTTATTTGGCACAACAGCCCTGCATATTGCCCCCCACACCCACGCGGGAATAAGGAAACAGTCATACCCATGCACGTTTTCTGACCTTAGCCAAAATTTCATGCTTGTCACCAGAAAGAGTACACAGTCACAGCAGAAAAATCTGAAAAAGCTCAAAAGGAAGAGCCATGTACCAAACACGGATGACTGAATTGAAAACAATAAACTGCTAAAATGCTAAGTAGGAGCGAAGATCAGGAGTACTGCAGACATCACGAGCAGTTGGGTATGTGTCTTGAGTGATGCCAAGCATGTGGCTCCACTGCTTTTCTCTGCACTCCTTGCCACATAAATCAAAAAAAGAAAGGCAGAAACTTTCTCCAAGTTCTGCTGGCATTCCATACAGAAGATAGAGCACCCATAAAGGAAGAGCATCTATCTAGCACATGACACGAGTGGCTTTCCTTAATCAGGGAATAGCTAACATTAGAACCAGCAGTTGAGCAGAAGGCTCTATACATTGCTACTGCTTCCACCTACAAACTCTCAGTTCCTCCACACTCCAGACTACCACCTCATCCCAAAGTATTCCCTTTGTCTTTTTCTCCCACTCAGTTTTTACTTGAAACAACTCTCTTCACATGCCAAATTCCCATGTAAAATCCCTTGCCTTCTTTTCAAGACTTCCATACACCCATTCCCTTCTCCTCCTCTGTTCCATCCAGTTATGCAGGGGACTTCCATACTGCAGTCACTCACACTACACAACAAGGGCTATGCTCCACCTGTCACAAACTTGCCATTCAAGAAGATGAGCGTGGGCTTGAAGACCTGTAAAACATGTCTGAGATCTCAGGTGCTCCATCAGGCCTTACAGTGAGTGCACAGATGTTCCCTTTCAGCTGTTCATCCAGCAGTGACAACAAATCCATCAGTCCAAAGCAAAAGCCTCAAGGTGAGTATGCTCACCTTGCATAGAAATGAATGCATAAGTCTCTGTACTCTTTTTTGGCACTGTCTGACAGATTGATCAAGACTAGAAAAATATCCTTTCTTCCACATCAAAGGCAGCAATGTCCTGGGCAGTCAGTGATCAGCCTTGACAGATCTGAGTAGGGATAAGAGTTAATTATGAAATATCTCTCAAGACAGAGCAGGCAATTAGCATTTAGCCAGCCTCATGCAGCACTAGAAACACAGACCTGCGGCAGGCAGGATGCGCCCTTGTACAGGGGCACATACCACCATACCACTTAACACAACAGAGAGGCTTTGCAGCCTCTCTGAACCACCTAGCAGCTGCTGAAGAATGTCAGTTCACTTCAACACCTTATAGGAAAAGAATTTGAAACACTGTAAGTTATTTTGTAGGAGAGGATCTCTCCAAACAACCAGAAACCTGCACTAAGTGTGGAGCTCTTCAGCTACACCAGCTGTGCAGATGTTCTTGGTCTTTCACAGAATCTTGACCAGCCAGAACTTCCTATATGACTGCTTTGCTTTCCAAGCATGTGCAGTACCTAACATTTCTGAAGCACTTAACATTTCCCAAGCACTATGCAAACACCTACAGCTAATTAGAAACCGTGAACAAGAACATCCCTGAATTTCAGTGTTTTGCGAGGATTTTTCTTTTTCTCCCTAAAATAGGGAAATTCAAGGATTGAAAGATGCCAAAAAACGTACTCTCTGAACTCTGGAACAGTACCTTCAAGGAGAAAGCCTTATTTTAGGATACCTACAATGCCAGCGTATATGAAAGAGCCAGCTCCCTCTGGCCCAATAGGACTGGATCCAGTTTGTTGGTAACAGCTCAGCTCAGAAGATGCTGCACACGCTGCTAGATGCAATTTCTATTCACAGCATACATCTACATTGTACATGCTCTTCCCCTGAACTAGTACTATGCTTCAGTCATGCCTCTAGGGGCTCTGTTCTAAAGAAAGCTACAGAAAAGAAATCACTAATCCCTTAATTAGGAGCACCCACTTCACCTTCTACAGGAATAATTCAGGAAGCCTGAATAGGCCACATGTCACGTAAGGCAAAAATTTAATAACTGAACCTGATTCAGATTGTTGGTTTATTTCTCTGTACCTACACTCAGCTGCGCAAAGCTACTGAAGGGAAGTACTTAGTGTTAATTAAGAGCAGCTTCAGAAGCCACTCATCACCACCTTTTCAAAAGCCATCCTCACTCAAACTTCTGATAGGAGCTGCATTACACCAGCAAGTCGCTGATCCTAAATCTCAAGCACAGCTCCAGGAAAACACAATTAGGCTCACGTTCCCTTCAATTTTCATAAATCTCTTGTTTAAGCCACAACAGCTTGGAGATTAACTGTACTTTCCTTGCTGAGCTACTTCAGTGCTCATAAGGTTAGAAGAGGAGCACACACCATAACCACTAAAGAGTCTGTTACATCTAAGGATCCATTCTGCCATTGTCTTCCACAGACTTCCCACACAATGACTGCATCATAAAACAGTCCCACAACACAATGCCCACCAAATTAGAAGAATAAACTCAAACCTCTTTAGACTCTCTTAAGGGACACCAGTGGCATAAACCACACTGTCATCGATGCAAAGGTTAGAGTTGAACACCTCTCTTCCTTCCTACTGACATTTCCTGGTTGCTCTCATCAGCAGGAGTCATACACACAATTCCATGTGCATCTACTTCCTACAGTGGAAAGGAAAAGTAGTGCCCACCACCATCTTACCTAAGAGCTTGCCTCCTTTCTACTCTCAAAGAATTGAGAAACACTACTGCATAAAACATTACTTCATTTCTCCAATCAGGTGAAGAGGGACTCAAGTAATGAAGAATAAAGACACTCAGATACCATGGTGATCATGGCCAGACAAGAAAGTAAATCAGCTACCATTATGATAATGACCTGGCTTTCTAGAAGAAGTAATTTGCATGTAGCAACTAAGCAGTAAAATAAAGATGATTTAACAGAATTGATGCTTGCTGCCTAACCTTACAGCCATACAATAAGCAGCCATGGCCACCAAAAAGACAGGCTTTTTATATTTGACTGTCTCTGCAGATGCAGGTGCAAAGTACCTGACCAGAGCTCCCTCCAGGTGTAATGAAGCCTCACTCTGCATTTCTTCTGGTAACACAACAGCTTGTGCACAATCTGAATACACCGTCTGGAAAAAAAGAGGGCAAAGGATTAACTGCATTGCATTTCCCTGCAATTTCACATCAAACCTGGAAACATCGCAGAAATCAGCAGCAGCAGGGAAGTAGACAAACAAAAACCCAACAAAGGAGGATGGGGCTCATGGGTTTGGGCTCCAGAAGGAAAGCAACATCCACAAGAATGAAGCAGATTAGACCAGAGGAAGAGGCCTGTACACCAGTCCAAGCTCAACATGCTTAGGCTGACTACAGATGCAAGATTGCCATTTGTATTTAAATAATACTTTCTTTGTTGACCTTACCTGAGGACCTCTACAGAAGGAGTTATCCAACTTGCAGGCTTCCTATGTATGAGGTACTGCTACCAGATTTTGGAAAATCCAGCTCATGATAGAGGTTTTTTAGCTTCTTTGGCCCAGCTGACAAGGCTGAAGGAACTTACACAGTGAAACTAAAACTGCAAGACTTTCAGCTCACTTCAGGCTTAAGTATGAACTTAGGAATGAGCAAGCAACACACCTACAAGGTCTGAAATGTTTCAACATAAAGCTACATACTTGTGAAGTCTCCAAATCCTACAGGCTCCATAGAATAGAGTACATAAGCTCATAGGTACACAATCATACTCCAAAACCAAAAGAGAATTAAATATACAATATAGCAATTAAAATTGCTAGCACTTGCCACCAGAACAAGATAGAAAATATATTCAAATTTGAGTTTGTTAGACCAACCTATTTTAGTTACTGACATTTAGAAAAAGAGAAGGAAGAGTTCAAATGAGAAAATTTCCTCTTTTTTCCCTTAAATTCTTATTTCTCAAAAACATCTCACTAACACAAACATCTCTCTGAAAAGACACTGCAGAGACACTGAACGTCAGACAAACAGAGAAATCAAATCAAAAGTTTTTGCATAGTAGTTGTTCACAATGAGGTGAAGAGTTCAAAACAAAGCTTTAAAAAGCCTCAATAATATACAAATGGTATTTGTTCATCTTTTCAGACTATTAGATCCCAAAATTATGATGATGGGTTAAGGACTAAAACTGCTAACTTCAGAGGAATAAAGGTAAAATCATTCATGATAGCTGAGCATCACATTAAATGCTGTATTAGAAATTGGATTCTTGTAAATTCAACCAAGAGAAGAAAGTAAAAACACTACGATAGCATAGACAGCTATCTTGAACAGCAACAGCTCCACAGAGACAGCTACTTCTGATGTTACTGGCTTTCCACTTATGTACCTGCCTGGCTTTAAGACTAGAGCTGGCGTCTTCAAAAGAACCATTTAAGGCAATAGACTGGCAGGAACTGGGCAAACGCTGAAACATTTAATAGTAATTACAACAGTGTTACTGCAAAATACTCTGCAGACGTATTTCAGCACTGATACCTACTGGCTGTACACAGTGGCACATAGATTTCTGGGTGAAAGCAAGCCATGGAAGAAGAAAAAGATGAGGAAGGGCATAGCAGCCCTAGCATTCCTGCCTAAAGGGCCAGAGCACCAGCTAAAGCTCTACAGATTCCCAAACCACAATACTTCAGTGTGGAAGTTGCATCCATTCTGTTAGGATGCCCTTGTTTATTCAGTTTTACACTAAGAATTCATAATATATGTGTCAGATAAAATAACACCTTTAGTCAAAGGAACCTGGATTTATCTTTTAAATATTAATATGTTCTTCATTGAGCAGCTTCATATTCACCTTTAAAGTGTAATGCAGACAAATATGACACTATTTGTGCATTCAGAACACCCACTTTCTCTGCAATAACAGTGTCTGGTATGGGATGGTTTCAGACAGAAATGTAGTGTAAGGACTGCACAAATGTGCCAAAAGGAATGGATACAGATGTCTACTGATGGTTGCTACAGCTCATTACACTCACTCTCAAAGGGTTTCTAGATGTGACCTCACCTTTGAGCCCAAACATTTCACAGCTTCCTTGTGAAATCTCTATGCACTATCTACAATTAACTCTGTTATTGTCATTACGAATACATTTCTCACAAATTGAGAACTTGTGTATTTGTGTAATTGAACTACAGTGTAATTGAACTGCATAACCCTTGCAAAGGCAATGCAGTTCTGAGGTTATCTGAACAAAATTGGAACATGCTGAGGAGCCACTTTCAGGGATAACAGCCCAACTACCTGTATCTCTTCTACAGCATACAGTGTTGCTCAAGTCTAAGGGAAATTCAGTACTCTAACAACAGCCAGAACAAAGCCAATGATCTGCCTAAATCCTATTTCTGCCCTTCAGGCCAAATCAGAACGAAGCATTCTAAGAGCCAAATGGGACACAGCAAGTGCCCTGTCCTCCTCTCCTTTTCCCCCACGGTTAAGTTTTACCCTGACAAACTAGCAAGCTACTTCAGGCTTAAACCTCTTTTCCACTCTCCACATTGCCTGCCAGGCTTCACATCAATCATCCTTCTTTTTTTCTTTTTTTTTCCCCTCTCAAAACTGTCTTTTCAATTTCTAGACCAAAACTCAGCTTCTGAGAAGCAGGGATTCTTGCAATGAATGCGCATTATGAAGCTTCTTTCAGATTGAAAAGCTCTTTGTATTTGATCAAGTAGATTAGGAAATCAGCCTGAAAGGTGGAAATTCATTTTGCTTTCAATTTTCCTGGCACACAGAGCATTTCAGAAGTAGAAAAAATTGCTGGAAGAGTTCATGAAAAGCCATCCTGCTCTCCACCACCCACAAAATGTTATTTCAGCCAGAAGACTGTTATATGACTAGAATTCCATCCAAGTTCAACCTTCAAATGAAACCAGGAGACATCCTATAGACACTTACATGTAGAGATCCATAGGAAATTCTTTCATCATGTGTGTCACGATGAACTCCACCATCAAATCTGATGGAAAAGAAAATGATAAAGTAAGTAATGAGCTAGCCACAGATAAATTCTAGTAGACAGTGAGGAAATCAAACTAATCCCTATCACCTTTCCTACCAGCCAATAGTTCTACTTTGAAGAAACACATCTTATTTTTTCTTTTGATGAAGGAGAACTAGACATCCTCTGGAATTAAAAAGCATACTGAAAACTTAGGGCATGTTTTCCACCAGTACTAGTCAAATGAATAACACATCACGAATCCTGATGCTTGGAATTGCTCCCATATTTCAAGCCCTGTCACTAGAGGAAAAGTCCTTTGAGAAGTACATTTTAGAAAATTATTCTCATCAGAAATAACAAGGAGGTTTACCGTCAGAGAAGATGTTACAGAGAATACCTATTTATCACCCAAATAAATTCTGAAGCAAGTACATCTAGGCTGCTCTTAACACAGACTGCAGTTCTGCCCAAGACTCCTTCAGCAAATAAACAAAAAATGTCTCTTGTTATCCCACTGTGAGTAAAGAACTCAAAAATGCAATTGAAAAAGAGAAGTTACTACAGTTCAGCCAATAAAACACTACTCAAAGATGTGTGTGTTCTCACTTCAGCATAAAATGCTTAAGCTGTGCCACTGGTGACAACTGGGAGACATAACCTCAAAGGGTGCTAATAGCCCAGAAATACGACTGAATAGTGACAAAAAATAAGTCCAGGGCAGAAGTACATGGTATCTGGGAAGTCTAGAATGATTCATACCCTATTTGTTCCACTGTGCCTTCAACAAACATGAAAATGCTTTTGAAAATGCTGGACTCCAAGACTGCTTCCACTTCATCAGGCTTAAAAGCCAGCCTCCATCTATCTCTGTATCCATTTATACTTTTGGCCTCCGTGGCAATGAGTCTCATAATTTCATCATTCACTGTGTGAAAAGCTTTCAGCTGTGCCTCCATCCACAAGCAAAAACAATCCTCAATACTGACAAACCCACGGTGGGTTTTTTTCCCCTCAGAAAAGGCTAAATGGCCAGCAAGACTTCCTCAACAAGCATTTGTCTTCTCCATAGGTTTGTTCTCATTTCATCATCTAGATGGTACTTGTGACCAGCTGTCACTACCATCACTTAAAACTCTGAATTTATTAATCATCTGCCCTCCCTACTGTTACATATTCAGGGCCAATAGGCTTCTGCAAAACTTACTGCAAATGTACACAGGATTTCTTGCTACAGAGCAGCAATCTTGGTCTGAACTTTTCTGTGAGGCAGCCAAGTAGAGAGATGGACCGTCCATTGCTGGAAATCTCCTTACTTAATTGCCTTATTTTTAAGCCCATCCACCCCTTCTCTGAATCTACACATCTATTTCTGCTGCAGAACAAAAAGATTCTTCAGGGCTCTCTACAGCACTCACCAAGCACTGCACACACCAGCGGGCGACAGGGCAAGTTCTTGTCTGCTGCTTTCTTCCTGTGCCTCATCGGCTTGAAACACACAAAGATGAAAAGAAGTCAGAATAAGCCTGAAGTGACATTCTGTGTATGATTGCATTTCTCATGCAAATGCCACCATCAGCACAGATTCCCTCTGTCTTTTTCTCCAACTGCTATCTCATTTATATTAGTTCTGAAGGCCACAGCTGAACTAAAATAATTTTGCTTGCTTTTCAGCATGCTGACCACCAGGTTTTTGTTATTCTAGGTGTGTAACTACAGGGCACTGTTGTATCACAGAACAAAAAACATCACATAGTAATTTCTTTCCCTTGGAAACCTATCGATTTGCTCCTGACTCAGAAGTCTGATCTGCATTCTTAATAGCACATGCAGTATCAAATGGCTTTGACTGGAGTAAACCAGAAAGGCTAAATGGGCAGCAAATTTGCTGTTAAGTGGGGAAGAGTAGCACCCTCACACTATGCTTATTTCTATCTGGGATCAGTAACACTCCCAAACACTGCTCCAGTGTCAGATGAGGTGGCAATCACCAGCACCATAAAAACAGAGTACATCAAGGCAGGAGAAACACTCAGTTACCCCTAACTACAAAGCTCCATGAGCTAGGTAAGGACACCTCCTCCACAGATACCTACAGGAAAAACATACACCGAAAACATATCGTCCTTTTTGAATCTGAATCCTCCACCCTCAGGAGAAAGATAATCCAAAATCAGAGAACTCAATGCAACTCCAACTGGCTATTAATATATCACATGAGGACTAATGCATGCTGAAGGTTAAGGCAGAACATTCTCCCTGTCACAGATTTCCTCAGAGATCTCATAGTACACAGCTCTTCTCCAGCTACATAGGTCTCTGAATTCACACCAGTACAACCAGCTCTTTATCCTTTGAAGGAGTGAGACATTCTGGGAGTGATTTTAAAATCATGCTCCAACTGCTGCAATTCTGACAGCATTTCCACATGCCTTAGCAATCTAGGTTAGATATGTGACAGTTTTTCAGCATGCAGAGACTTGAATCCCATGTTCTCATCCCAAAGAGAAAAAGCAAAGCATCCACAGGAAAAACTCACCATCCTGTGCAGGTTTACTCGAAAATTCATGTTGTCATCATGGAGAAAAGCATTAGCATATTGATCCTGTGGAAAAGAAGGAAGAAAAAAAAAAAAAGAGTGATGAATAAAAAACTACCTGCCCACTAACTTCCACTTGCCTCTCAAACCACATGTTTCAGGTGCAGAGTTCCCAGTAAGTAGCTGTAATGCTGAAAACACCCTCAAAACCTCCTCTTATTCCCAGGCATGTTTTCAGTCCCACAAAGGCAAAATCTTCCTGATCTGAATTCCATGTCACAGTCTGCACTATTTGCTGTTTTCTTCAAGGTCTATTTTCTGTTTTATTTCTTTGCTCATCAAAACTGTAGACTGCACGTGCTGCAGCATCAAGATTTTAACAAGTGCTATATAATGCACACAAGTCCCTGTAACTTTATCCACCATGGTTTCTATCAGTTTTTTGATGGAGCCATCATGCCAGAAGTTCCTGCACACATGTGCTAGCAAGTAGGTTGATCAGCTGTCCCACACCTCAGGCAAAACTCGTTTCAAGTCCAGCTACAAATCCAACTATTACTCCAGGCAATGCACAGTCAGGTTGGGTATTATGTACACTCTCTGATATCAAAGCTGAAGCATGCCCTGATACATAGAAATAATATAAGAATTAAGCATTTCTTGTATTACCTATGTGCCCACCTGAAGAAGGCACTTGAGTGCCAAAATCAATTATAAATACCAGAAATGCATATGCTGCACCCTGAAGAAACACTACTTCAGAATTCTCAAGCTGTCCATCAATATTGCTGCTTTTTATTCTTTGCTAAGAATGAAAGGTCTTTACTTGCAAGCAAGCAAAATGCAAATGCCCAGCAGACTCCATCGCCACTCAGGACAAGCCATTCGCCAGGCCATTATTACCTGTTCCCCAGAAGACTGGAGCACCTTCACCAGGACTGCTGACACTGCTGGTCTTCTCATCCTACTGCCAGCTTTCCTACCATTCTGTAACTGCAATACTCTTTCTGACTTATAAAACCCTTCTCTGACAGATAAGATACAGCACTGTCCATGATTATCACAAGCACCACACAGATGAAAGACATTCACATATTACTCATCTAAAAGCACTTAATAGCTAAGTGAGACAGGCTTAGGTTCACTATTTTCTCTCTTTGCCCCTGTGAGTTTGCTAAATCAAATAAAATGATCCAATTTTTAAGAATATTTTAACAGTATTGCATCAGGTTTATCAGCAAAACATTATGTGCCTGAGGGTCTCATAACTAACAGCTACTGCAGATCTTCAGCTCCCAATGAACAGGAGGCAGGGGATGTGCATGCAGATAGGGCCCTGAAACACACCATCTGCTGAAGAGTCTCACAAGAAACCTACCTCTGCTATGCATGTCAGGATAATCAGGCACAGCTTGCCACTGTGTAGCCGGTGCTCATCTGCAAAGAAGCAAAAACAATTCCTGCATGAGCCATACAAGCTTGGCAATGCTGAAGAGTGAGAAAGCTCTTGCAATAGGAGAGTTTTAATACTTCTTCCTCCGCAATAGCTAATAGTGTAGGTACTCTCCACTGGGCACTCACCCTCCAGCCTGGACACTAAACTCCATGAAGACTTCCCCGCTGCTTCTGTGAACAGCCAAGTTTCTGATTTGGATCTCCATCACCGCTGTAAATATCAATGAGGCTTCTTTCTCATTCAGTTTTACTTTCACAGATATTCCATATAATCACTCCCTGCCTGCCACAGTGGATGTGTACTTTTTATGTATATGTACTCTCTAAGGTAAGATGGAGAAACATCAGTTTTGCAGTAGGTTATGAAACAAGCCAAGTTTTGGTAGAGGCACAGCACAGCAGAACAAGCATGTCGAGAGTTCATGCCCTGAGCTTTAACCCCACTGCTTAGAGACATGACCTCGTTTGCCCTATGTAAAGCCATGAATGAAATGAAGTCTGCAAAGACTAAGCACTTTAGGCCAGAGGAGTCCCACCTTGGTCATGTCCTGCAACCAGCAATTGAACTACGCTGATTTTGTCTTGCTACGCTGCATAGAAGGAGAGGAATTTTGAAATGAGAGTGTTAAAAATCTCTCCCATGTCTCTTTATCTCAGCTTAAATGCTTAAGTGAAAAGTTTTCTACCCCAGCAAAGCAGGAAAAATGGCTTCAAAGAACTGTGATACACTGGAGCCTTGTTATTTTCCTATTGTAAGGCCCCACTGTATATTTCTGTAGGTGCTGCTAAGATTCTCTCTGGGGACCATGCTGTAAAGGCTCCTGTTCCACACTAAGTACTCTGCCTTCAGCCAACACATTGTGAAGATCATGCCATTTTCAGCAGTTATGGGGCGACCACGCAGGCAGTTACTTGCACAGAAGCTCTGTACCTTCACAGCACTCTTCATTAAAGGAACAAAGCAGACCACTTCCCACAGGGAGATGTAGCAGTATGAACCCTATTTTACAGATGGGGAAAAAAAAAATAACACAGAGCTTTTGTTTCTCCCAGTGCCGCTGCCTCTGACTGGCACAGGAGAGAAACAGAGAGGAGGATCTAGCAGAATGCTGTCTATTAAATTATGCTCTCTGGGATAGAACTGGAACAGCTGCCTAGTCCTGGAAGTAGAACAAACCAGTCTCCTCTTTGTGTTTCCACCTGTCTCAAGACAGAGAGAAAATAAGATTCTCCTTTTCCCCCCTTGCTACTATACTCTTGTCAAATGCTTTCTTCTACACAAGAAAAAAAAGTTAGGCAGAACCCAATATATCCTTACTGGAATTAATAGGCACACTTTGTATGATTGATCAGTAGAACTACTGATACAAACTGCCATCTGTCACAGAGGCAAGGACATTGTCTATCAACCTTCAGATGTTTTACATACTAGCACCAAAGCAGAGAAAGAAGCATCGTGCCCTGTCACATAACAGAATAAACTCATCCTTAGTTGGCTTGTTAAGTACAGAACTTCTATCAGATCTCATTCCATCTGAAACTAATCTAGTTTGGCAGTTCCTGAGGACCAGTGTGTATTTCCCATACTACAGTGACTAGTAAGTGCAACAGTTAAATTTAAAAACATAACATTGTTCCATACACTTGGATCAGCAAGAGGAGCCCTGAAATAAGCAAATGAGAATAATTAGAGAGCTGGTACACCTCCTCATGTGTACAATCTATAGAAAATGACTGAACAAAGATTGAGGTTGTTTAGTTTAAAGACAAAAGCAAGAGGAAGCATGAAAGCAGACTTCAAATATTTAACGGCTGTCACAAAGAAGAAAGAAATTATCCATTCTCAATATCCGTCTCGGGGAAGATAAGCAGTAATTAATTTATATCACACTAAAGAACTTAGGATGCACATGAAGCTTTTTCACAATAAGGGTAGTTAAACACTTGAATAAATAGTTTAAAAACGATGCTCCTCTATCAGCATCTTTTCAACCTGCTAGAAACAACTCTCAGGAAAAACAGAGGTAGACCTGATTCTGCCTTGGTTTTGAAGCACCTGCTGGATACTGCCATGAAGTACTTTTTAGTCCAAATTTCGATTATTCACCTTTTCCTCAACTAGCTTGCATACTGAACAAGAGCAAGAGTGCCAGAAACAACTTCCTGCAAGTTTGTGCACGAGAAAACTCTCCTATACAGCGCGTTTTACAAGCATTTATCACGTTCAATAATCAACTCATCATAGCTCTACAGAAGTCTTCCTACTTTTCTTCAGCTATTATGTTTAACTTAAAGCAGTATAAGTTGGCAATGGGCTCAAATACAGCAAAAAAGATCACTTATGTTCAGGCTGTGGTCCTGCCCTACAATCGCTGAGCACAAGAGGATCCTCAGGTACCTGAGCGTGACCAAGCTTCTACTCCAGCAACACAAAATGAGCCCCATTCCAAAGTGATCAGAAGAAACAAAAGGCACAGCATGGGAATGTATCTCAACAAGCAAATGATTGTCAGTACAGTGAAGATCACTGCTGCCACATTTATCATTAAAGATGTCTGTTTGACCTGCAAGTACCAAAGGACAAAGACAATATTTCCTTCCAATGCTGAGCTTTGCCTCATGTGTCAGACTAAACATTCTTCAAAATAGATATCCAGTGCACAATTTCCCCTCTCTGAGCAAGGGTTTGAAATCAGATATGCTGACAACTCCTGCACAGGGAAAGGCTTGGTTATTACGTACTGTTATTATTACTACGTTCTTCCCATAGTTGACTTCTCTTCTGTTTGCATTCATTCTCTCCTACTCTTACATAACTGCTATCTCACAATAAGAAATCATTTCGTTTTCTCAGAAGGTGGAACCTTCAGTCATCCAAAAAGCCTGCATCCAGCTTCTATTTTTGGAGATGTGTTCCTATGCCCTCCCCATTTCAAGAAATACTGCTTGCTACATCAACAGAATTTATTTACCTTTTGTGTCCTGCATCACAATGGAGCTGTACTTCAAGAAGGTTATCAGCAAGTTGCTAGTTTGCACATCAGCATCCAAAGGTAGCTCTGCAGAGCTTATAACTGGAACAAAACAGATAAGACACACTTATCCTCCACAAACACAAAAGAGAAGCATGCAGAGAACAAAGTCACAGACCCATAAGTCTGGGACAGAATCAACTTATCCATAGGGTCACCTGAGTTCTTCATCCTGCTATATGATCATCCAGCAAAGATTTGGTTTTGAAGATTGGTACTACCCCAAAAATCTTTTCTCCTGCCCTAAGGGTAGGATGGGATGCTCTGCAGTGCTATCCTTCTCTGTCCGGCTCTATCCACTTCAGAGGAGACAAACTTGCTATTGTAGCACTTATCAATTTTCCTAACCTAGGGAGCTCAAGACATTCTCACCAATACCTACTTAGGTCCCATATGTTATTCTACCTATGAGAAAAAGGTTTGATTTAACAGTGTATTTTACAATTCAAGATTTATACCTCGTAACCCTGGAATGACGTAAATAAGGTTAGTTAGCCCTGGAACCAAAGGATATGCAGGCACAGGAAAATGCAGGGGATGAACCAAGAGTAAAATGCAGGATTCTCAGAACTGAGCACTGAGGGACTCACTGCACAGTAAATAAAGGTTCTCATGAAGCTCAGGATTGTGTAATCCTTGAATACAAAATCGTAGCCCTTGGAAACAACAGGCCAAATAGATCAGTGTAACTTAGCTGTTCAAATCACATCAAAGAAATGATAATGGGGCTTTTAGCTTCTGAGGGCTGCACATCCCCAAGCTGTTTTAGTCCATTCAATCCCGAAACTGCAGCACAGCTAACAGGTTGCCAGCATGGCCAGTTTGTTGGCAAAGTCCAAGCAATGACACAGAAAACTCTTTAACATCCAGTGCTATGAATAGCTCAAGGAATCAACTAAAAAAACTGGAAAAAACATATTTATATCTCCAGCATGTCCTTCCAAAGCTGTTACAATGAACACAATGAATGAATATTTAACAACAGTAAGCAAAGTGACATTTAGATAAGTATGGTGACAGGCACACTTGATTTACATATTATGGATTAACACTTACAAGAAAAAGTCTCATTTAAAGAAAAGAGGAAATTGCTCTGAAGATCACATCACTGCCTACCCTGGTTCATGGCACAGACACTGCACTTTTTACCCAAGCACTCCGAAACTTTAAAAGGCTTTAATTCACATTAAAGGCTAACAACCATAGAAATTTCAAACCAGAATATGAACCCATTTTTAATTCCAGTCAGCATTAAAAAATGCCTGAGAATCACAGATGAATTTCTACACGTTGCTGAAACTTGGAAATAATTCAACCAAGCTTTTATTCTTTCAAATGCACGAAAAAGAAGAAAGCAATCTTTTCATTCCGAAGTAAAAATGCCTCTTACTAACTCTCAGCCACAGGCAAGTTTTAAAGCTGAGTTGCAAGACATGAGAAAATGAGGAAAATTCTGACATGCCTTTAAAATAACAGCAGTACTGAAGAAGTACCACTGAAATATAACTAAGCTGAGGTCAACAAAAACCAAAAATAATAAGGATCACAGTGCAGAGATCATCAAGGTGACAGCTAATACAAATAAAGCATACTTCCCAGTGTAATTCCTGCACGCTAGGATCAACTCCAGTCCTTAAACTTAGTAGCCTTGCATGCAGAAGGAAGCCTCAAGCTCCTTAACATCACTGCCTCTGCTGAAAGCAGGATGGAGTTTTTGCTTTGCTTTTGTTTTTTTGGTAAATAAATTAAAAAAAAAAAAGAAAAAAAGAAAGGAATATGAGCAAGCTGTAGATGTGGTTAAGCATCAGTTCTTTCAGTTGTATAATACAGCGTGGGCACGGATACATTTGCAACGTATGTGTCGAACACAAGCCCACAAAATGCCCGTCCCTCTACATTTTACGCTGCACAAAACGTGTAGCACACAAGCACAGGGAGACCTGAGACACAGGGAGCTTTTTAACTGAAGCTTTTGATATCCATGGTAACCAGACAGAACTCATCCACAAGGAGGATCGTCTTTAACCAGGATATCAAATGACCTGAATGGCTGATATAACTAAGTAACCCAGGCTGCTTGGTCCCTTAAACATTACCAAATTATGCTCTATTCAAAGTGACTCTATTCTTCCTCTGAATTCTTTCTTCAGATCTATGCCATTAGAGTAGGTGGCCATTTGATTTCTTCTCTTAAACTGGACTGCAACTATCCATAATAAACAAGAAGGGTTTTATTCTCAATTATTTTGAAGTACATTTATTTGGGCACATAACATCTCATTTAGATCTCAGCACAAGCAGTCATTCACAAACCCTGAGAGATGAAAGACAACGAGAGGGAGGAATATCTCAACTCCTGGGTTGGATTCAAGTCCCAGTTAATTCAAAGCTGGGGACAAGTGCATTAATGGCAAACTGCGACCGTCTGTAAATCTGCTCCAATGGCAAATAACCCCAGGCAGAGAACCTGATACTAGAAATACTCAAAAGCAAAAGCCTATGTAGGATAACTAACAGGTTGGGTGTGCCTTCATGCAGATACGGGGACAACACTGTTTTCAGAAGGAACACCAACACAACCTCATTAAGAAACACACAAGGCAAAATAGAAACTACGCTAAACATCTTCCAAACAATTTAAATCATGCCAAATAATATTTCTTGCTTGTGTTCCTGGGGCAGATCTCCCCCGGAAGAGAACACCAGGTTACATCTGCACCAGACAGACCTCATTAGCTGCTATCTTGAGGAAGAGCTTTGCCAGCTATTGTTAATTGTCCATCCCCAGGATATCATTACATTTCTTACCATCCGAAGAAGGTGGGGTGGTTCCAAGTGGAGTGACAGGCGTTGTTGGAATTGGACTTGTTGGCGTTGTCATCAGCCCCATTTCAGGATGGCTCTAACAGAAAACAAATCCCAAACATACACAGGTTAATAGCTTCCCTGTGGCTAAGTCACATGGATCATTGATTGTACTGTTCCACACTCTCACACAACAGACACATCTTCAGCGAAATCTCAGGAAACTTCAAACTCTCCTCAGACTGGGAAAGCTGCACTTTACAACCTTGAATATCTACAATTGAACAGTAAATCAATTAATTTACTCAGCAAAACACACAAATATATCACAAAGCAGTAGCTGTCCCCGACAGACAGACAACATGCCTTTCTCCAGCACAGAAGGGGAAAAGGCAAGCAGAAGCCTACACTGTTTACAGCTTCTCACCACGCCAAAGCCAACCCAAGGGTGTGCATTTGAAGTCTTCCTACAATCCTTTTATTTCCCTTCCTAAAAGCAAATTCTTCTACCCCCTTGCCCTCCACCTGCTCATATTCAAAGATGATGACAATTTATTTCTTTGTTTCTCCCTGTAAAGCTCAGACACCGGAGGAAAAGAGTGCGTAACATAAAGAACACTACCATTATTGATCCTCTCTGCTTCCATCAGTCAGTTACTCAGTCCATTTCATCTTTGCTAATAGTTGCCTGCCTAATTACTGCTTTGACTTTACTCTTTGTAAGCTCCCAGATCCATCCAAAGATGGCAATCTGCCACGCTATTTTAAGTCTGCCTGCCAAGCAGAGCATCCATTTCATAGGGCAAGTTTTACATAAATGTATCACCTGCCTTAATACATCATCACAATTTCAAAAAGGAAAGGGATATAGAACTACTGGTTTGACATTAGTTCTTTCTTCCCAAGTGGATAGCCTTCACACTGCCCTTGAATATCTCATTTTATGAGCTACCATAAATACATGTATTTTATGGGAAGCACAGACATACACTACACCAGTTAAAGGCAATTGTAAATTACATGTACTAATTGAAAATTTAAGATCCAGCTTATCATTGAAAATCTTACATAAAACATGCTTGCTTTCATATGTTTTGCTACGGTGTTTACCTTCCCTTTCCCAGAAATTAACTGTCAGTTAAGAGATAATAGTGCCACCTAGCAGCAAAAACTGAGGACCAACAAGCTGGTAAACACAAGAGCAATTAACACTTCAGGCATCATCACAGCTATACCTCAGCTCTTCCTATGAGCTCTTACAGGAGCAGGGAGTCATTCACACAGTCCCTCTTTCAGCAGTGGATGCAAACGAGCTCATCACTCATCAGCTTCCAGAAGTTTCTCAAAAGTCAGCATGCCCTACCTTGACCTCTCTTAAAAGAGGGATTACAGGCATTTCACCCAAGAACAACATTAGAACCAAACTTCAGTCAGGTCCACTAAACAGTGGCTGCTTCAGCTACCACTTTCACAAATAACTAGCTTATTTTTTCACTATTAATGCAAGAGCTTTTATGCCAGCTGCTCTTTTCCCATTCTCCTCTTATCCTTCTTCTCCCTCAGGGATATCCTGGCCACGTACAGGCCTGAATTGGTATTACACAACTAGAAGCAGAAGTCTCTCGGAGGCAGCTGGAATGAACAACCTGCAAAAAGCAAACAACTTGAGCGAATTAACCAGCCCCACAACAGAAGCTTTCTAAAGAGTTCATAGTTCTGCCTATCAGTCTTCTGCCATCAACACCACTGCCAGGAGCTCCCCAGAGGCCCACTCCCTCCTTTGTGCCACGTGTCTAGCTAGTAGTGTATTACACAGAGTGACAGAATCACAGGAGGTGGAAGACACTCGAAGAATCGAGTCCAAGCCCCCTGTTACAGCAGGTTCCCTACAATTGGCCACACAGGCAGGCGCCCAGATGGGTCTTGAACATCTCTACAGAAGGATACTCTACAGCTTCTCCAGGCAGTCTGTTCCAGTGTTCCATCAGCCTTACTTTAAAGTTCCTCTGCATGTATTGCTGCACTCTAATGAGCTGAAGTAGCTGGGGAAAGGCCTTAACTTTTTTTCCCCCTCACAGATTACTAGTAGTACTTGGAAAAAAACAAAATTACTATTCTAAACTGTAATGCCTTCTCAGATCCATCAAGCCATTCCTACAGCCAGCCACAACACCATCATCAGATCAGACTCAGTATTTCTCCCTCATGGTGACTGTCTTTGCAAATTCATATACCAATTAAAAAAAGCATCCAGAGGTCTGTGTTCAGAGGTACAAGGCAGCCCCCATTGCTTCTCAGAACACTGCTATAGCTCTGCTTCTTCACCATGAAAAGCACAAGGAGAAGTGCTCTGTTGTGACAGCAGCCATTGATGACTTCCTAAGTGAAGGATACCTACACAAACAACAACTTGTGGTATGTGCACATCCAGACAGAAAAATTAATCCAGCTTGGAGCCGGATCAGCTTCTTAGCCTCATCTCTAATTTATCATGTGTATGAACTGCTCCAATAGCAGCACTCTTACTGCCACAGTCAACTCACTGCATCCTCCTGATGGCAGTATCACATACTCTACACAGTCCTTCCATTCAGTGGGAAAAATGGCTCCTAGCACAAGCTGTGCCCTCAACACTTCAAGCATTTTCTGGCAAGGCAGGAAGCATCTCCTAGAAATAAATCCAGTCCCTGGTTTGTTTTTCATCTTTTGCGCCCATCTGCATCTGTGGAAGGAAAGATCCTTCCTGTGGAAGGAAAGATCAGAGGGGGAAAACAAAAACAAAAACGCAACCAAAACTTCTCTTTTCACCAATTTAATTACTGACTTCTTAACTTCAAAAGACATCTAATAGAAAGAAAAAGGCAAACATAGTACTGAAACTCACTTGTGCCAGAACTGTAATGAAGTTCCGGTTTAAGTGGACGGCTTCATAGAGGGCCAGAAGGATTGCTTCATTAGTTCTGTGGAAAGGACACAGACAAGAGCACAGTTAATTAAGGGCTAACTCCAAATGAGAATCCTGAGAGCAAGGCTTCTGAAAGAATATTTTTTTCCCAATCATTTTAAACTCTGCCCCAGCAATCCACTATTTTTCATTATTAGCAGTACTGAGCAGTGCACAAATACATCTATTTTTAGATTTCAACTACAGTCGCTGCTTTTCTCCTGCAGAACAGCTTCCTTGTTACTCACTCTCAAGCAATGTTTTCGTCTTTAAAGCCCTTTCTTTTCAGGGTAGAGGTCTGCACAGACACAACACACCCTGGTATTTACCACTTGCCCCTTTTATTTGTTTTGTTCCATTGAAACAGCTCCATGATGGGGAAGATCACGTTGATCAGAGCAGTGAATTGTCACTCATTGTGCAAATAACATCTGTACACTTACTGCACTGATATCTTCTCATCAGCATCTGCTATGAACATGCTGCCCACCTATGGAGAGAAAAAGTATAGCAGAGGAGGAGTTTTTGAAAGCTACTGAACAGCACGAGGGAAGACACAGATTCAACTAAGCCTGGAATGCCCTGTGAGATATGTTCTCATCCACAGCACAAATGCAGCTTACATTACAAAACCAGTGAAATACAAATTGGGAAAGTTCCACAAAGGACAGAACAGGATGATCATACACATTTTTTGTTCTTTTGTAGCTGCCCAATGCTTAATCTGTCAAGTCACAGTAAAAACTGTGTATTTTAAATCCCAACCTTGATTAGCCTGTGGTTCTATGAGAGGACAACAGATCACTTCCTGCCAGTGCGCCCCAAAGCATAGCAGTTCTACCCACATCACTCCTGACAGATAGCTGTCATCACTGAACTACCCTTATTTTTGAAAGCACTTTCTCATCCAGACAGCAATATGCTCCTCAGGATACAGTTACCTCAGCTGTATTTGGTTTAGATCATATCAGTGCATCCTTCCTACAGAAGAACATTCCAAGCTGAGTTTTTGGAAAATCTCACCCACCTGCTGAACTTCCAGGAAGTCCTTATTTTAAGAACAGAACAACACTGCATCCTTGCTTACCATATTAGTTAGGGCTGAGAAGAAACCACTCTGGTGCTCCTCTTCTTTATCTTTGTATTGCCTGAACAAAGAAATCAGGATGAAGCTTCAAGCTTAGAAAGGTTACTACAGTTTTCTTCTTAAATCCCCACATCACAACTTTATCTGATCAGGATGCAGGTGGGAGAAAGTTCCAACATACAAAACTCCTTTTTAAGAAGCCAGTAAAAGAGGAGGAGAGGATATGAAAATATCTGCAAACTGTTTAAAGTGAGGGTGCTGAAAGATACGACTCTGAACTGCTACACAGGATATATCCAGTCTGGTCTAACACTAGGGGTGTATCAAGTGACTTCACAAATTCTGCCTTGAACTAACCACACAGTAAACCACAGCCTGTAACTACAGGGTACTTTCCTTTCAATTATCAGCAGCTAGAGTAAACCACACTTTAACTCCACGGCCAGGAGAACCCATGAAGACCACTAGACTGGTTCACAGGCCAACCCTGTTGGATCCTGTATTCATCTCCCAAAAGACGACAGGTTGAAAGGTGGTTCAAATGAACCGTTCTGCTGACAGCTGTCTGTTCCCACCTGCCTTACTTCCAGGGCATATTAGAAAGCACAAGGATGTTCCTGAACAGTCTAGTAAACATGACAACATAAGCAAGCGTCAGACCACGCACACAGACGTGGTCCAGAAACATGACAGCAGCCACCACCCATGGCAGGAGGCCCTTGACTAGGACCGACTTTGGAACAAGAAGCCAACAAACAGGTTGGACATCTCAAATTTAAGCTCTTTGCTTCAGGTGACATTGAAATGGGCTAGCAGAGCTCACACGGCCATTTGTTCTGTCTTTCATAAAGGAATCCAATTACACATTCTGCATCATGCAAAGAAAACAATTCTAAAATTCCAGAAAGGGGAAAGAAAGATAAGCAAACAAACCACAGCCCAAGACAACATGTCAGAATAAAAGAAGGTGAGTGAATGTAAAACAAAAAAATGTTTAATATATTTTTAATAAATGTTTAATATGTTTACGTGATTTGTTCACTTGCATCATCTTGTGGGTATATCTGTAACAGTGTACATTCAAATGGAATTAAAACAACTTCCTGGATACTTTTAGAATTCTTCTGCCCCCAAAAAAACTTAGGGTTACTCAGGTAAAACTGCTATGTGTTGCAATTTTCTGAAGATATTTTTTCTTAGGAAAACTTTGGATTGGATACTTTGTATTGTTACTTATTAAAGTGACTTTGGGAATGTGCCATCCCTCCTGCTGGCTTCCTGGCTCTTTTCTCAGAAGGAATTCCTGCTGCCCAGCATTTGCAAGAGTAAACACCACCTCTGATCTGGCATGTGAACAGCCCTGGATAGATCTACTTGTAGAGCAGTTTTCAGTTAAACAAGAGAAGTCCCCAGCAAATGATTTATCTTTTGTCCTGGGCCATAAGATTTTACACAAAGTTCATAGAGGTAAAATCCATGACAGGAAAAATATACAATAGAAATCTTCCCCTTCAGCAAAATCTGTCCTGAAGCATATCAGCACAGCTGGTACAGATGTATTTATACTTGCAATGACAACAACTGAGCACAAGTACCTCAAAGCATGAAACTACTCCCTGCCTCTGCAGCCGCACCAGGACTGGTAAGGGACTGATAAGTTTACTCATAAAAGTATGTTGAAATGGAATGCAATTCACATGCATTTGAAAACAAGAGATGTTAATGTTTTACCTGTTGTACTCTGATAAAGCCTGGGCAATTACAAGTCCCATTCCCTGCAAAAAGAGTTTAAAAAAGTTTATATTACAAATTGTAATGCAGGAAAACTAACACTGAACACACATTAGCACCCCTGCCCCCAAAGATACCATAGTATGATGCTAAGAATTCCCCCTGCAGCTGCTTGAATTAATAAGATACACTTATACAACAAAAGCACAGCCTAAAAAAAAAAAAAAGCACCAAAATTTAAAGTTGGCTATCTATTTATCTAAGTTCAGAGGAGAAAGTTTATTCTCCTTGGGCCACCAGGCACACCTTACTCAAGAAAACTCAGTGTGGCAACAACTCCAGAAGGAAGTGTGTGTTAGGGAAAAGATACCCAAAGGTTCAAAACAAAGGCCATAAGCACTAATGACCTTGTCATTTCTTGTCAACAGCCTCCACCACTCCACAGTTACTGGTCCTCCTTCTCTGACAAGCTAATTAAATCAACTCAAAATAGTTGCTCTCATCCTTCAGTTAGCACAGAGTTCACTTTTACTTCATGCCTAAAGGAAGTTTGCAAGTCCACATCTCTCCTAGCCGGTAGTGCACTGACATTTTGTATCAAGGCTTAAGTACAAAACTTAGGCAGCATCTACAATGTAAAGCATGACTGGTAACTCTTGATTTGGGAGCTACAGTAAATGAGTGGAGGACTTGTAGAAATTGAGTAACACAGCACTGCAGAGCAGATGCTCTTCAGCAAAGGAACATACAGGCATTTAACAAATGTCTCATAGACCAACCTTAGGATGTTCTTTGCTACCTAGCCTTTTAACCACCCTCATCATTCAACTGATGAACAAACTGTTCAAATCCAGAGTCACCTGACATACAATAGTGCAGTTAGGGCAGAAACCCATCGTACAGATGCTCTTTGCAGCAGCACTGCTCTCAGATCCTCTTTGCACCAGACATTAAGACAGCATTTGTTAACCTCTCAGATGGAAAAGCATCCCCAGCAGCACCAAATAATTAAGTCAAATACTCACATTGAGCGTGGCCTCATCATCTACGATAGAGAGCTTCACAATGTAAGGATTCACTGACTACTCAGCAGCAGGAGAGAAGAAAGAAAGCAAACTGGTTTTAAGTTCAGCATTCACAGGAAAAGAAACCATTGCAATTATCTTTCAAAGGTTACCTACCCACCTGGGAAGAATTTCCCTCCCACCTCACAAAGCAGAATGCACACAAAGCACCAGAAGTCACACTGCACGGTACGGCTGCTATGCCTTCTCCTTACCTGCTCAGCCAGACAGGCTGCTGATTTCATTGAGAAGAGATGGAGTCTCTGCTCCTTTGCTAGCTGGACTGTCATCACTGAAAGTGGAACAGCTGCCCTGACAGCCTGTTATCAGTGACACACACACGCAGCAGGCACAAGCAGTGAAGCTGGGACACAACATCCCTGTCCTGATATCTCTCTTCTGCAACGCCTCACAAAGATTGCTTAAAGGAAGGAGGACTCAGGAAGGCATGACAACATTACAGACTCGTCTGCTGCAGGGTTAGAGCACAACACTTAACAGCTTATACCACGGAGAGCCAGAAGTCTCTGGAGAATATAAATTCCTTGAACTAAGCTGAACAAAGCACACAGCCTCCATCTATAAAGATAAGGTGTAATAATTTAGGGAGCATTTTAGATTAGCAACGTACATTTGTTTTTCTTTGTGTCAGTGCAAAGTTAACAAGGTTGACTTGGAACTAGGACAGAGAAGAAAAGATTGTCTGTGCAGTAAGTCCAAAATGAATGGGATGAGCAAAGCACAAAACATGTACCAGATAGAGCCTTACAAGTTAAGCAGTTATCTGACTATTAGGCTCAAGGCTTAACAGAAGGTTAAAAATCAGGCTGATCAGAAAACAACACAGTCACAATTATTCTGTGCTTTGGGAGAATCAAATTTTCTCTTTGGTCCAGGGAAAAAACTGATCAGAAGACCTCAAAGCTCAGTCTGTCACAGCCTGCACTATCTGCTAGCTCAGAAAATAACACAAAACTCACACAGAACCCATTTGTGCACGAAGCACACAAAGAGATTTCCTAGAGGCTGGAGGAGAGGCTCCTGTCAAGTAACAATATACGCTTCTTTCTGTGCAACCACGATCTTCTGCCACTTAGAATATGTCAATAAACCAGAAGCAAAATTCAAAAATGTGTAGCTAAAATACATCTTAGTTTTGCTAATTTTGATCATTATGTTGTTCTCATTATATCATAAAGAGAAACACAGGCCAAGCCTCTCCATCCCACAGCTCACAGAAGCTCGGTCAGAAGATCGGTCAACCTGTGATTCATGACCAATAAAAGCAACAAAGTTTTTCCAGACAACAGACAGCAGGGCTATGGTGAGTTAGGGGCAGTGGGGTTTTCCAGATTCCCAGATAAGCAAACTGGAAGATACTGCACTGACCAATACAGACAGGCTGCCCTGAGGCCTCCACATACATTCCGTACCATCACAGAGTGGACAGTGAGCAGGATCCTTGTCATCCCCAGCCTGTGAACAGCTCCTCATGCTCCCACTGCCCTCAGCTCCCCACGATGTGTGCTACATGTCATCTACCTAAGAGCCAGTCATTCCAAACAGCTACTTCCTGCTCATCTGTGATGAGCTTCAAGCACCCCTAAGCCCTTCCCCCCATATTCCCTGCCTGCTTCCAATCCTGTTATCTCAGTTTCCTTCGCTTTCTTCTTACCGGGAATTACTGCAAAATATTTGGAAGTCTAAATTACACCTGCCACTCAGCAATGTGTGCAAACACACAACAGCCTTGAAGAGGGGCTGATAAGCACCTTGAAAACTCTAGAGTGTGTCAATGAAGTGGTGACACGAACTTAGAAACTCTGCCTCCAGCTGCCTCCAGAAAGAAAATGATAACATGATCCTCATCTCTTCAGAGAACACACTGCCACCAAAGCGTAAATACTGTAATACTAAGGTCTTCTCTTCAGTGATAAGGTACAAACTCCTGGAATGCAGGAGTACTCAAGATGTCCTCTATGAGCTCACCACCACTAGGCGCCAATAAGCTCAAAGCAAAGAAGGTGGAAGCTGGAGGAGATGATTACCAAGTAATTTCTAAAAGATAAGCCAGTTAAAACCAGATCAGAACCATAATCCCCAAGCAAGGCATGTCATACAAATTGAGAGCTATGTGAAGAAGCACACAGATGTGGCAGAGGGAGCTAGATCTTCCCTGTAACTCTAATGCATCTCAAGCTCTGGCACAAACCTACGGGAAGCAAATCTTTGGTAAGAAAATAAAGCAGAAAAATAAATTAAAAAAAAATAATATTCAAGCTACCCACATACAATCTCTAGTTAGATGCTTAACTTTTTCTCATGTCTGTAACACAAATGAAGCCAGAGTCCACTTGATTACCCCCTGCAGGATTTTCCCCCTGAACATTCATTAGGGATGATTCAGCAGCTTTGCCTCCAGCGCTGATGAGGCCATCTCCTCTGCAGGCAAGGCATCTTGCAGGGAACTGGAGCTTGAAAAATGACTCTTTTTGTTAAAGAGATACATTCAAAAATCATTCAAGTTCTGAAAGGGCTTTTATTTTAATAATTTCATGATTCTAGTATTTTTAAGTCTCTTCAGCAACTGCTGGAATCACAGAATTGCAGGGAGTCCTGGAAAGGACCTCTAGAGATCACTGAGTCCAGCAAAGCAGGCCCCCTACAGCAGACGACTATATCAAGGCAACTAAACATGAAGGGCTGTCTGATACACTATAGCAGACAGACAATACCGAAAGAAACAAAATGTTTTCACTCCTTTCTTTTCAGTTCTGTCTTTGGACGGACACAATACACAATTCTACTGGAAAAAAATTAGCACCTAGATGTAATCTAGGAATCAATCTATTGGAAAGTCACTGTTTGAGTTATGCTTTAAGTTGCTATTCTAGCAGACATCTCTTACAACACTGAGAGAAGGACACAGTGAATTACTCCTTGATGCAGTGTTTCCTCTGCTTGGCATCCTTTTGAGCAGCTAGCTTCACCATTTCCCAATGTAGTCAACTATTTAATGCTCCTTTCATGCTTCTCTCACATAGCATCAAGGAAAAAAATTTTCTCTGAGATAGGGAATAGGATCATTAAACCAAAAAATACGGCTGAAGAGTACACAGTTGTCACAAGTTTTGAGAATGATTAGGTTTCAGATCAGTGACATCTCTTTAAAAGTCCCGTGTAAAGACACACAGTTTTTACTCCTAGAACAGAAGTTACTGAGAAGTTACCAAGATCACAGCTACGCTGGTAATGAAGACGTGGACAGATATTCCCCAGGCAATTGGAAGGGAAACCAGAAAATTATGACCCTATTTATTACAGGCATCGCTTACAGTGTGCGACACTTCTAAGAGGCAGTGTCAGGCAACTGCCATACAAAACCCTTAGCTGAGTTGCTTTCCACCTTACCAGACAAAATAGTGAAGCTGATTTTTCCCTCACCCCACATCTGCCTTAGCTTGGACTGTTGTCTTTTTTGTTCCTTTTGTAAACATCAGCACAAACCATTTGCTTTGGTTGTACAGTTTGAAGTCATCTAGAACAACAATTTAGCAGCAATGGACCCCAATGTTACATGCCTCAAAAAGTTACTTCAAAGAGCAGAGGACAGCTCCTATGCACTCACAGCACTCTGCCTTACTCAGGAGATAAACTATAGCACACAGGGAACTTCTCAGGGATGGGACGAGACAGATCTACCTCTTTTGACCTGAATGTGTAAATGAATACCCCATAATTAATGAGGAAAGAAGTTACTTAGTATGGGTAGGTTGCAGTTGGACTTGATGTTCTTGAAGGTCTTTTCCAACCTGAGCAATTCCATGATTCTGTGATTCTATACTTTGCTCAGAGGACAAGTTAAGTAGGTAAGATCTTGGACAGATGTAGCAGTCCCAATTTCAATTCAGTTTTCCAGCTGCAGGTGCAAAAACTGCAGTGAGAGCCCTGCTCTTCCCACTCTGTCCTCATCAGTATTGTTACATCAGATTGTGCTCACGGCCCTGTGCTGAAACCAAACTGCACGCTCCTGCTCCATGTTACCATGGCACAGGTTGAACAGTTTGTAGTTCTGGATTCAGACAACACCCACAGGAATGGGAAATTAATAGGAACTGCCTTGTCACTGAGAGTACTCTGTGCTCTCACCTTTTCTCTAAGTCTAACCATAATTCAAAGTGAGCTCCATTACAAAATCACACAGGTTCCCCCTCCTCAATTTTTCAACCAAGGAGAGGATATTCCAGAACTTTTCCACATTTTCTACCTGTCGACCTACTCAGAGTAAAATATTGCTAATTGCAGGAGTGCAGGGGGTGTGGTAAGGAAGAAATAGAGACCAATCATGCAAGCATCACTCCTGCAAACAAAAGCAAACACTAACTAGGTGTTTTTTGACATCTGAAGTGTTTCCTTTCAAAGTGATAAGCAGAGCAAAAAAAAGCAGGGTGGAATATGTCACAAAGTAGCACAACCAGTTGCTAAAAGTAAAGATGAGTAAAGCTTCTCAGAGAAGAATCAGGCAAAGGAGAAGAGTCAGATTTCTCCTGGAAATACTACCGCTCTGATGTTTCAGTTCATTCTTTGGTCACATCTTCAGCATGTCTTCTGGGGATCTACATTCCCTCAGTCTGCTAGTCAGGTACTGAATCACAAATTCAGTCTGAAGCCTAAGGTGACTGACAACCAATTTTACTTTGGAGATGATATATAAGCAGTGTCACACGTGAAGAGGCAAGCACGCAAGTTGTGCACAGCACAAACTCTTACAACCTTCCCTAGAATACTTTCAAAAAGGAAATGAGCACCTCCTAGGTAGTTTCTCATGCATGCACAAAACAAACTGTATCTTAAATACACTTGATCATACACACACACATCAGAGGCAGATACAATTAGCATAATAGGACTGTCTCACAAAGTTTCTACAACTTTGATAAAAGCTACCATCTCTATTGCTAAAAAATGTACTCTAGGCCTTTTTTAATAACCCAGAGGCCAGGACAAAATAACTGAGAGAAGAGAGATTTCTGTTACCCAGTACAACACTTACCTCATACTTTCTGTAGTTGACCAGCAAAGCAAGCAGGACAACAGCATCATAGCCATGCTCCCTGCGACTAAGTGGGCTGGACAGAATCTGAAACAAAGACTTTTATTATTCTTTTCAGGCCTGCTTCAGGAAGCTTGCAGCAACTCTGAGAACACACATAGCTGTAAAATACGTACAAGAGCAAATTATATCCTAAAGAGGATATTTATGACTTAGGGAGTGTCAGTGCTTCTGAGAAACATTGCACAGAGGGAAGCTTACTTGTCACAGGCAGAATGTATGCAGGCTTTCTGGGCAAAAAGCAAATACATTTCTCAACACCACTGGACATTTCAGTGCAACTATGACATCCCGTGTTTTCCCAAATCCAGCTTCAGTTGTAAAAAGCATAATTTATCAAAGAGCAGAAAAAAACTCCATACATCCAGACTGCCTTTTGAATCGTTTCCCAAGTAAAGGAAGCTTCTGCAAAATTAGCCCATAAATCCATTCAGCTTCCAAGGATAAATGACTCAAGTGAAAATGCCTTAAATGCTCAGCAGTGACTAAGAACAGCAGACTGAAGTAAGGAGCCATAGATTCTAATTATTCATTTTATTTACTCTCAATAATTATTTATTTTTTTACCTATTCACCACGCTATGAACAGAAGCAGCACGCACTGCCAAGTTACTTATGCTGCACTGAAAAGGCTGAAAAGCAAACGTAAGACTGAAAAAAAAATAAATTCATGGAAGAAGAGCTCCTGCAGTAGATGGAAAAAAACCCCTTACCTGTAATATAGCTTCAAATATGCTGTTAATCATCACGTACTCCAGGATGGTGTTCTGGCTTATGTTATCTGTCACCTAAGTACAAACACGAGTTAAAATCTCAAAGCCTCCCATGATGCTCTAGCTGCCTCTGGCAGACAGCAGGGACAGCAGCATTATACTGCCAGACTGACACATTTATCCAGAATCTCTCACTTAGTCAGCAAGTCAAGGGTGTGCTGAGCACTACAGCCAGACGAGGGGAAATCTGCCCTGTCTTCTACTGCTGTCATTTCTGGCAAAAAAAACGACCCATGGACTGAGCACCCCATTTCCTCTGCAGATTGATGCAAGACAGCTGCATGATAGCACTATCAGCAACTGAAAAAGTCTGCTGTGCTGGAGGCAGAGGGTGAAAAAGCAGAGCCTTTATTTACCGTCACCAAGCAGAGGAGTAGCTTCAGACACAAGCTTTTCAGGCTTTCAGAACCTTCTGCACAGAGCAGTGAGTCCAAGCTCTCCATCAGATTCTAAAAAAAAGAACAGTCGTGCAAATTTGAATTAATATTTAAAACTATTTAAAATATTTCTTATAAATCTGAGACTCAAGAATAGCAACACAAAGCTGTGTTATTCCAAAAGTCAGCAACTGAACCACGTCCTGGTTTAAGCTGGGACGTAACTACTGTATGCACACACAGCTGTACACCACAGACTATATTAACACCACTGCCTCTCATTTCTGCTTTATGTTAACTACCTTTTTATGCCCACAAGCATAACATCATGATCATTCTCCAAGTCCTGCCTAGATGCACAAGGGGCTTTTGTATACACACCCATCTACAAAACACTGCCCCTGCAACACAGCTCCTGTGCAAAGCGTTTCTCTGCATAGGCAAGGCCTCACCTTCATACAAAGCTCTGCCTTATCAAATCCCACAAGCATGTTGATGATGTCAAACCCAGAAGTAGATTTGTTCTTCTGATGGACACCCCGAATCAATGCACACAAAGTCTGCAAACAAAATATTCAGAGGATAAGATGTAAGGCAACACCTACAACTCCATAACATAACTGGCCCTAGAGCCCTCTCAGAGGGCTAGCAAAACAGCAACATTTATACAAATAGATCAGCCTAGAAATAGCTGTGTTTGCTATATATCCTCCACCTCTGCTGCTTCTAAGGAATATACCTTGGATTCTGAGAACTCAGGAAAGAAAACAATTAGGGAAGAACGTATTTGTCCACATCTTTCCTGTTCGATGCCCTTTACAGACTTCCCAAATCTGAAATTTATATTCTGCACTTCTATAACTGAGAGCAGCTGGGATGAATGCATTCACCAAACTGTCAAGAATCAGCTTGGGAACTAATAACAGTAAACGTCGAGACTGAGGAGGACAGTCTCCCATGCAGGGCAAGTGCTGGTAAAGAACAGCAGCTTCTTGTTCTGGGTGATGATTCTCCACAGCTTCCAACTAGAAGTGTCCAGCACGGCCAGTTTCCCCTATAAATTTGACATCAAATTCTCCATTGTTTTATTTTAATCTTGGCCCATAAGGAAATTAATAAGGAGGGCAAAATGAAGGAAAAAGGAGAAGACAGACAAAGCAACACAAAGTATTCCTGAGCCCCCAGATGATAGCTGGTAGAGAGAACAAGCCCCTCCCGCCCACTCCATTGCCACCTATTTATTCTGCAGCACCAGATCCTCTTGAATTTTGAAACAAGCTCTTGTTCCTCAAACACCAGAGAGACTATGAGCATGTGTAACCTCCACAAACCAGACGTAGCAACTGCTTTGTAGACACCATTTCTCCTCACAACTGAAGTAGTGTGAACAAGATGCTTGATACCAGAGGCAAACATATTGCCTCATCAGAAGCAGAAGAGAGTACTTCCCATCTCTCAGCTGTGGTACCTGTAGTGCATTGACCACTCTGATTGGGTGCTCCTCACCCAGTGCCTGGATGCAGTGCTGAAACAAGCAATTGATGTTATCTTTTATCTTCATCAACTCTTCCCCATCCAGAGCCTCCAGCTTGCCTTCCAGATATTCCAGGTTGACCTGTCAGGTTAAGGAGCAGATCATGCACGTTACACAACTGCTGACACCTTAGGAAAGCAAGTCTTTGCACTGACAGTCTGCCAGCTCATAGGCAGAACAGCAGCAGCAAATCAGAGGATGTTCAGTTCCTGTTACCTTCATGAGAAACAGCTCCTCCCAAAATCTAGGGTTGCTTTTACTGGGGTCCTCTGTCTGAAAGAGAAAGGAACAGCCAATGAGAGCAAACAATAACAAATCATTCAGGCAGAATTTGAACAAAATTACTACCACAAGTAGGTCAGAGCCATTGGATGACCAAATGGTCTAACAGTACAGTGTACTGTCTACAGAGATTCTCAGAAACAGAATAGCAAACAGAAGCAGCTCTCATTTGAGATGTTTCTGTGTATTTTCTGGATTATTTTTGAGAAACACTTGAGAAGCCATGACGTCACACAGATAACAAGTGGTCCTGGCAGACATCAGGACAAATTCACATTAAGGAAGAGAGCAGATTACAGAGTTCTGCATGACAGCAGGAGAACTTGAAGTGCGTGCCTATGCTGTACAATTCTTACCATGGGAAAAGAATCCAGCAGGCAGAGCCCTCAGCACAAACTACATAAAATTTACCAGAAGTGCCCTGGTCCTTACCGTGAAAATCTCATCATACATCAGCACAACCTTCTCTTTCAGTGGCTTCTTGGAGGCTGAAGATTTCCGGAGCAGCCCACCTTTCTTCTCTGTTTGGGCCATGTTGGACTCCCTGAAGAGATCAAGAGACCCAGGGGAAAAGAAAAAAAAGAAAAAAGTTAAAGAACCTTGAACTTTCTTCAAGGAATACCGAGCCTGCTTCTGCCATGAAAGACGCCTTCCCTACACTAATAAACTCTCACAAGCTGGAAGCAGAAGCTTTAATGAATATCCTTGATAAGAAATCAGACCAGAAGTCCCATCCAGTCCTAAAACCTATTTCAAAGAAAGGTGCTGAAGTTCATCCACAGGCAGATACAGAATAAGCAGCTCATCACAGAACCACAGAATGGCAGATGTTGGAAGGAACATTTGGGATCATCAAGTCCAACCATTCTGCTTCAAGCAGCGTCCCCTAGAGCACATTGCCCTGAATCACATCCAGAAAACATTCCTTGGTCACTTTCACAGCAAAAGGTTTTCTAGTAATGCAAACAAGGTTTCCTATAATTAAGTAGTGCCCAATGCTTCCTGTTATACCAGTGGAAAAAAGAAAAAAAGTATCATTCCTATAAAACAAGCTACTCAATAAAGCAGTAGCCACAGCTGTAGCCCTGAGCCTTTTGCAACTGTCAAGCTATTTCAGGGGCTGACAGTCAGAATGCATGGCTTGCCATGTCCCCTCAGCCCCACATCTGATGCAACCAAAGCACATCACCACCCTGGCCTCACAATTCCTCTGCAAGCTCAGAATTTTCTGGCAAGCACTGCAGACTGAGCAGCATTCTAACCTTCTCTATCACTGCAGCACATCACAGATACTCAGCAGAAAGGGAACGCTGTGCCCTGTCATATCTCCAAGCTCCAAACCCTCCTAACCAATACCTCCAGAGATAACTACACACATGGAAGCAGCACACCTCAGGCAAAAGCACAACTGGACTCATGCTCCAAAAGAAAAACCAAACCGCAGGCAGGCCGTGGTGGCAGCTGCACTCAGCCACGCTGAATTACGCACAGCGAGGTCAGAGCACTGCAGCCTGCCTCTGGGACCCCACGGCTTTCTGAGTCGGCAGCCATAGAGACAGGTTTGGATTCAGTCTCCACCTCAGACTGCCTGAACACATTCCACAACTGTGGCACACTCAGATCCATCCTTTTCCCAAAGAGCAACTTCTAGCAACTACCCAACACCCATTCCAGATCTGTTCTGCATTCTTGCCATTGCAGACAGCTTTGGATCATCTCCGACTACAGCTCCAACTAAGGCTCCCAGGCTCCCAAAGTCTGCTACAGGTTACTCAGATATCCATCCCTTGTGCCATAAACCTCAGTTCCAAATGGCAGGAAATCTTTGGGGCTGGAGAAAATGCTGCTGCCCTTCTCCAGGTGTGAGGGCAGGAGGTCTGCCACAATGGGAAAGCAGTGGGCAGGACAGAGAAGGGTAGATCTCGCACCTGAAAAACTGAGATTCAGGTAGAGGTGGGGCAAGGTGCTGCTTCTTCCAGCTAGGATGGGAACATGGACAGCTGGCTGGTTGAGAGCCAGTTTGTTTGTACACGGCAGGTGAGAACGGAAACAGCCCTGGAAACACTGACAGAAGAACACGTAGGACCTGGCGCTCTGTAACCTATGCAAACAGACACCACTGCTGTGGTCTACTAGGCCTACATGGCCAATTAAGGTGGAGAAAAGGTTGCAAACCAATAAACGAGAAAGAAAACATTACTCAATCATCTTGATAGCTTCTCTTCTACAGTCTGCGCTATTTTTGAACTGTCATGGGAAATGAGACATTACCCTAATTAGAACCATAACTGGAAACAGAGAGAAACCTATTAAAAACCAAATCAAGAGCAAAGTCACTTTTAGCCCAGCAATATAAACCACACCCAAGACCGAACAAAACAATTTCCCAACTGGAATTCTAAGGTTCTGAATCTCAAGCAGCCGCCATGCCCAGCACACCAACACATCCATCAGCGTGCTTCTAATTGAATCTCAGCTAACGAATCCCAGTGTCAAAACTAATAAACTAACTCACGGCGCTTCTAGGCCAGCACTCTCACACCAAACACATCTGTGCACGGAGGGGATCAACGCACTGCCCAGCCCCTGAATGTCCAGCACTACATTTTAGCACTTTTCCCGCACTCTCCAGAAAGATGGAGAGGCCAAAATCCTGCAAGGCACAAATTGCTCGATGCTCAGCAAGCACCAGAGGGATGGCGTGAGCAAGTGAACATTCTCAACTCTGTCAAAATGAGACTTGGGTTCACATTCTCTCAAGGAGGGCTGCACGCAGTACAGACAAAGATGACTGCTAGAGGTAAGGATTAAATAATGCTCTTGCTTATGATTCGCTGCTCTGCAAATGAGCACATGGAGGAACAAAGGGGGAAAAGCAAAAGCCGCCTTTCATGCCAGTGCTCTATTAGGCTTTGCTTGTTTCATGACCTATGACGATCAGGCTGTACAAATGGTTTTTTCTTTTCGCTTCATGCAATTATGTTTTCTAGATGTCAAGGACAGAAACAGGAAACTGCATTTTGCTAACGGGGACCTTCTGGGCAACTGCAGAAAGCAGCAGTCAGACGCACAAAACGCCCCTAAGTTGCAGAGGTGCCAAATTAACAGGACATTGTGACGGCTTTTCAAAACACCAAATATAATTAATAATTATCCTTTAAAACACTCCACATTTCAAAAGCACGGGTGCCAACTCCCCATCTCAGGTTCACGTGGCTCATTCAGTCTGTCAATAGGTCAGTGCCATTAACATGCACTGCTAAGTGAATCCTGCCGCGGTCACTGACAGCACAGAGCCGTTCCCAGGGCAGAGAGAAGCACCCGCCACAGATTCCTACAGCCTGCTATGCTGCTGTGCTGCAGAGCATCCAAGATGTTCAGCAGGAGCTAACAGAAAGCTCAGCAAAGCAGGAATCCTGGTAGCTCGAAGATGAAAGGCAGGCAGACAGAAGTTGAGGCAGATCTGCCTTATCTCTCATCAGCCCCAGGATCAGCTGATCCAGCCAGGAACAAAGGCATGAGCACATGCAGCCATCCACCTCCCAACCACCCCATTCCACAACTCATACCAGAGATCCACATCAAACACGTGACATTCAGATGAAGGTGTCCTCGTCAGCATTCAGTCAGACCATCCACAGGAAAAATTTAAAAAGAAAAACCTGACATTTTGAGCCTGAGGTTTAGTCAGACTTCAATGTTTTCAAGGTTACATAATTCACATACAACTAAAGACGAATGCTTTCTTCAGTCTAGAAGTACCAAAAATACGCTGTCACACTATCTGGCTAAATAAAAAACAAACGGATAACACCAAGTGGGATTTTCATGTATGCCTTTAATTGTCAAACCATTTATTCTGTACCTGAAGAAGGTAGTACAAATGATGCGATCACATCAGTTTGCTAATCTCAAACCAATGTTAATCAATACTACTGAAAGCTCTAAGTAAGACCCGAGACACTGCCCCTTTCTGAATCCAACCCCTTGGCTCGCTGCTGCTGCTGCTGCTACTAAGATTAGTCTCCCTCGTTTAGAAGATCTCCAGCTGGGTAATCAGCCCGACCCCAGCTGCACACACCTGGGACCAGCAGGATCATGCTGTGCCTCCTGAGGCACTTAGCAAGCACACCACTTCAATCTGAAGGAGAGTTTTTCAAAAATGGCATAGACCACAGATAAACCTCTGCCTAAAAGTGACCTATGGCTTGTAAAGAGTACAGATTGTAGTCCAGTCCTTGTACTCGCCAGCGAAATTCCAGCACTGAACACACACGATGAACCTGCAGGGCCAGTACTGGACCCAGGCAACAGGGCAGTTAAGATGACAGGTCCCAGCACTCGTCTGTCAGAGGAAGCTGCAATCTGCACATGAGCTTACAAATCCAAATGCAGGGCAGTGCCCTGACCCAGTTCAAGCCCCGGCACTAACCCCCCACCAGGAACCACGGAACAGCAGTCTGGGCAGAACACCAACGAAAACAGAGAGGGGAGGGATGTGGTGGGCTGCATTTTGTCCAGGCTTAAGCAACCACCACAATCAAATTTCTGTTATGAGCCCTTTAGCAGCTTACAGTCTGCCAACTCTCATGTTGACAATTACAACCGATGCTAACAGGTCCATGCTACTTTAGACCTTCGTCATTCCTTACAGCTGTATCTGCATATCGTCCATTGGAATGAAAACAGCTCAGGCCATATTTCTTGTTACAACAGCACAGCACCCAGCACACCCACCAGGAAACTATCATTCACAGCACAGAAGCCTTGGATCAATCTGGCATGATTCCCAACTACCTTCATGTAATACAGAACAAGAAATATATTCTGAGGTTATGACAACTAAAACCCACACATTTCCTACTTCTTTATTTTGGCAGTACCAAGCAGCACAGCCTCAGTGCATGTGTTTCTACTAGCCAGCCTCTCCACCCTGCTCAGAGCAGTAGCAGTGTGTGCTTCTACATAGCACAACCCATACAGCTACACCACTACTGACCTATCTTCCTTGCCCTGAAAAACAGAAAAAGTGATTTCTAACACAGATACAGCTACAAGCTCGCACTGCACCTGCCTTAGCAATGATATAAAGGAATTGCAGGCAAGTTATGTTTTTGACCTTTCATTTTGGCCATTTCAATGGCCTTTCATTTCTATCTGTCCAGTTGAAATAACACCAACTTCACGCCATCACATAGCTGAGCTTCTTCCTGTCAAGCCCATCCAGACAAGCCCACATGCTCACACCTCCATCTGTTCAGACCATTTTTCCAAATTAACTTTATCATTTCATCACACTTTCTCTCCATGTTTCTGGCTTAGCTCTGTGCTGTGAAAAAGCCTCTTTCAGTTTTCACTTTTCAAGCCTCTCAAGATCCATTCCACCCAATTCACCATGAAATACTCAGTGCTGCCTCCACACCCACAGCTAAAAGCTCGCTCCACCTGAAGACATTTCCAGATGCCTTCCTTCTGAAAGAAAATACCATGCCCCACCGCTCCCCCACTCTTTCCCCAGAGCTTCAGCCGTCAGCGCAGTTCCAAGGCCCAGGCTGAACAGCACAGCAGCACAGCCTTGGCTCCGCTGCTGAGGAAGCTGCTACGTTCCAAGACGCCGCAGAGCAGAGAGACACAAGGTAAGGAACGCAGAACTGCAGAAAGGCACGACTTGGAGACGCAGACCGCGAGCAGCACAAGCGCTCGAGACAGACACGCTACAACCACAGGACGACCGACCTCCCTTTTCCTCACCTCCCGACACTCCCCTTCAAAGCGCCGCCCCTCCTACAGGAGCCGACGCGGCCGAGCAGCACGCCGCCCGCCGTGCCTGGCGTGCCTGCCGCGCCCGCGCCAGCGCCGCCCGGAGCAGGACGCACTGTTAGGGCAGCCCACGACAAACGGCCCCAGCCGGCGCCGTGCCGGAGCGCGGGACCGAGCCCTCTTCGGGCCTCTCGCCGGGCTGCACCCGGGGACTCCCCGGAGAGGCCCGAAGAGGGCCGGGCCCCTCCGCCCTCGGTCCCGGCGGCCCGAGGTGTCCCCGCCGCTCAGCAGACGTCGGGACGGCCGTGGCGGTATGACGTGACGCGACGCGTCCCATCCCGTCCCGTCCCACCCGCGGGCCACAGACACCGCGACCCCCCCCCGCCCGCCGCTTACCTGCGGTCCCGCCGCTCCGCTCTGCAGCGCGCGTGCGCCGCTCACAGTGCCGCGCATGCGCCCCGAGGGGCCCGGCGCCGCGCGGTCCTGGCGCCGCCCGCACGGCCGCTGTCAGCGCCGTTCCGCCGCGCTGCCGGCCCCGCTCTCCGCGGCGGCGATGGGGGCGGCCGGGCGGGGCCGGCGTCGGGCCGAGGAGCCGGCGGTCCCAC